TTGTAAAGCTATCAGTTCAGTATCCGACATAACGCTAGGACTTTGTGGTGGGGTATTTTGAGCAAGTAGGGCCGCCGTTCTTTTTTCTTGCTGTTTTCTTAAGTAATATGACTTGTAATTCTTTCTCCATCTCTTTCTTTGTAACCTTTGTTGTCTAGGATTCATTTCGTTTATTGGTAGTTGTTTCTTTTCCTCCTTTCTACGTATGTAGTTTTGCCTATTCTTCTCTTGTTTTTCTTTCCATAAGGCATCATTATTTTTTATTCTTTCATATCTCTTTTTTTCTGCTAGCCTCTTTTTTCTAAGCCTTTCTTATCTTGACTGTTTCTTTGAATTTGCTATGTTAAAAATACAGATCTGAAAAAAAGAAAGTGGGATGCAAATACTTAGCCCGATTCGTAGCTTTTTCATGTAGTAGATGTTACTTTATAGGCTTTAACATGTACAGCTTAAAGATATTCAAAAAAATCTGGAACACAAAATCACAATTCTGTACCGATTCAATTGATATTTGGATTGAATCTAATTCATCTGACCCGTTCAAATTCATCTGGTCTTAAGAGCCAGATGAAATCAGACTAATGAGAGCCAGACAAATGAGGAATTTGAAGAAAAACAAATCCTACTCCTGTATTTATAATCGTAAGAAATGAAAGAGGTAATTAATAGTGATAAATAATCTGATAAGACATTATGTTTTAGTTACAAAACGTAAACATGTGCAGAATATCTATAAACAAAGACTGATTAATTATACTACTTACCTGACAAATGCCAGATCACGAGATTGTATCGTAGTTTTTCGATATAATAAACGCCGGCACGAATGCAGCCTATGACAGGTCGGGACTGACTGGGGCGATCAATCACGAGTCGGTATAATGCAATGGAATATTTTGAGACATACGTTAAATTCGTGCTGAGACATATTGAGCCAGATGAATGATTAATTTAGTCGCGGACAATTTTTGATGTTATGTTATTTCGAGAACATTTAATCATTTTGGATTTAAATATGAAATCATTAAGAAACAGATATTCAAATATCGATACAACTTACTAATCTTAGTCTATTGCGGAAGGTAATTTCAGAAAATTGTATAGTTCAACAAAAAGCGTCGTTTGGACGCGCCAGATTAATTAGATTTTAATGTTTCCTGTTAACTTAAATTATGTTTATTTTAATTAGTTGAATTTAAATACATAAGGCCTCGATAGACATTTTTGTTTAAAATTAAACTTGAAATTGACGTTTTAATTGGATATTATTTTGATGTGTTCTTCAGTGAAAATCATGTCAAAACTGCGTTTCAAAGAATCACCCCTTTATTGAGGGTAAATGTAGATGTCTATGGGTCACAGCAACCACTTACCATCAGGTGGACTGTGTATTCGTTTGTCAACCTATCCTATAAAAAAAAAGAAATTTCACCAAAATAATAATGTTCTCCAGACCGAATTTCGGTCGCGGTGGCTAGACTTAACGGAGACGAGCCGTCTGCGAAGAACAGGATTACAGTGCACAAATCCATGCGCAAGCACAGGTGTTGTCTCTATTCCCTCTCTCTCATAGCCTGATGGGACGGTAATCCGACACGACCGCAGAGAGATCAGGCGCAGGACCAACGGCTTTACGCACTGCTGACTCGCGGATGCTAATGAGAATTTCTTGTCAGAAAAACACAATAGGTTTGTAAACACAAAATTGTTTTTGACTCGACTTGACAATCGAACTTGGGACCCCAAGATCATCGTCGGGTTTACGATAACTAGACTAAAGGGGAAATCGACTCACCAAAATAGGTTTTTGATGAGTCAGTAAGTGATCAAAATTCTAAATTTTAACTCGACTTCAGACATTATAATAACTCAATAATCATAATAGGTTTATTAATGGAATTATGTAGGTACACAAGTTTACATGTGAAGGACTAATAATTTTTGAGTTATGGGGGGTTCAAAAGTGGCTTTAAATTATAAGTCGGCTCCGTTGCGTAGTATCCTAACAATGAGTTACCGCGCTGAGGTGCGTTCGAATCCCGCACGGAACAAGTATTTGTATCGGCTACAAATAGTAGTTGCGGGTCTGGATTTGTGTCTTTGTGCAATTTATGTATGTAAACTGCCTGCACGATACATGATAATATCCTAGTGTGGGGTAACTTTTTTTTTAAATAACACATTGCCGCAGGAGCGTCGCACTTTTCTTTTCCAAACTGCCGTGTGTCTACGTTGTTATAGGCGTTAAACTATATTAAACTCAACATAGATTATGTAGGATCTTAATTAGCAAAAGTAAAATTAGATAGATGCTATATATTACGTCAGATTGCTGTGCATGATCTATGCACTCTTCTCATTTTTGAGAGTTATGGCACAATCAGTCTACAGCGCTGGTCCAGTATGTATTGACGGCCTTCAGCATGTCCTTGAAATATCTCACTGGGCGGCAGATATGAACGTGCGACAAGATACGTGCAAACACAGATGCACTTAAAAGTCCTACCCATGGCTGTGACCCTGTGGCAGACACGGAAACAAACACCATCTGAATCAAAATTGAACAATTTGTGTATTTGTCCGTATGTAGGGCTCCAGCAGGAGTTAACGATTGGGTGCCCGATTACTTCGCCTTTATTAGATCTCGGGTTGCAGCTTTATGGTCCCACATCCGCAATTTCGAGAACGGGATCCTCAGGGTGTGCTACGAGTGTCCAGGGAATCCCATACTAAAATATTGGCGTACCGTGCATCGCGACAATAACTGTAAATAAATAGTACGAACCCCCTTTTGGGGGCAATTTTAACATTAGCTTGTGATTTCAGTTGAATTGTTTTTTTATTTATTTTATTTATTGTATCCTTATAATTATATTTTTATTGTGTTTTTCACATTTAGTGATATTTGAAATGGGTGTAAAAAAGCCTGAAATAAATGACTAATATTATTATTATTATTAACGCCGTTTAGTGATCTCAAATATACTCGTAACATGTATTTCACAGTTTTTGTAAAATAATTGAAATGTTTGTTACTCGTTACGTGATTTATTTTGTAGCAGATGTTACTGGTATTATTAAATGCAAGCATCCAACCGTTATTTTTTTTTTATAGGGGCAAACGAGCATGCGGCTCACCTGATGGTATTAAGTGACTACCGCCGCCCATGAACAACCGCAACCCCAGGGGAATTGCAGATGCGTTGCCGGCCTTTTGAAAAGGAGTAGGCTCTTTTCTTGAAGGTCCCTAAGTCGTATCGGTCCGGAAAAATCGCTGATGGTAATCGATTCCACAAGGAAGTCGTGCGAGGAAGAAAACATCTTCCAAATCGCACAGTGGTGGACCGCCAATCATCCAGATGATGTGGATGGTATCGGGAGTTCTGCCGCGATGTGCGTTCGTGCGATTTGGTGGCTGGGATTAATCCGAACAATTCCTCAGAATACTCCCCGTGGTAGATTCGAAAGAAAATGCAAAGGGATGCAACATCTCTTCGCAGTGCCAATGAATCGAGCCGATCGGAAAGGACTCGGTCGTCGACGATTCGAGCCGCTCTGCGCTGGATGCGGTCAAGTGGAAGGAGCTGGCACTGGGGAGCCCCTGCCCAGAGATGGGCACAGTATTCCATGTGAGGCCGAACCTGCGCCTTGTAAAGTTGCAGGCGGTGTGCCGGCATGAAATACTGTCCCGCTCTGCTGAGCACGCCAAGCTTTTTAGAGGCCTTCTCTTCCAAGTGACCACGAAACTGCACGTCACTCGATATGTCGACTCCGAGGATTCCGATACTGGCTGAGGCAACAAGGAGAGTGCCTTGAAACTGAGGAGATACGACAAAGGGGTTCTTTTTAGCGATAAATGCGCAAACTTACTATGTACGAGTAGCAAACACACGGGAGACGAAGTGAGCGAATACTCTCGCTGTTATGTAGGAAGGAACCACCAAAACCAATTTTTTTAATTTCTGTACAAAGTACTGACTTTGACTGAAATTCAAATACCTACAATAGCAACGCAGTAGTCAGGTAATATAACTACGTCGCCAAACAGTTGTTCTGATTCATATGTACATATATAACATAGTTATAGAAAATTGTTTTAAATCATTTATAGAAGCTACACTTCATTTTTTATAGGATAGGGTGACAAACGAGCACACAGTCCACCTGATGGTAAGTGGTTCGCCTGTTGCCCATAAACATCTACATCTATCCTCGTTTGCGAATCAAAATGCAGATATGTTGTCACCCGTGAGGACTAAGATGGAATGCCTCTTTTCTAGTAAAAAAGGGTCTCCGGTTCTCTACACTCACCATACGAAACACAGCAGTTTTAAGCTGCTCTTTTACGCTGGTATTCTGCGAGAGCGTGGTCCCTCCCCGGTCGAGCCGACCCATTCGTGTTACAGTTATACTACTAATATAGCTGCAGCATGGCTCTACCACGTATAAAATAATCACATTTCTCTTTTTTATAGATGAAATTCTAATAGAAGGTGCAAAGGTAATCGGAGACGTCACGGTACACGGTGGCCGACGATGCGCAAGAGTGGCGCTACGTTTGTGGCCTCAAACTTTGATTTAGTCCAAATTATTTTATAATATTTTTAAGGTTAAGTATGCAATATAATATAAAACAAGACAAATTAAAATATGAAATAGGGTTTTTATAAACGATGCCAAAGAGTAAAATAAGTTTAAAGCATGCGTTCCGTCTTATTTGTATGTGCACTATAGGTAGGTAGGTACCTACCTACATACTTACAAACAGCGAAAGTGGACATGTAAATAATTTCAATCATGAAATTTTATTAAGAAATTCTATTTTATAAATTACATTCATATAAAACCACAAGTAAGTACCTAATAAGTTTTTACGTTTTTATATTTGCACAGTCCTAACAACAAGAACACTATGTATGGTTTCTGCACTAAATAAATATTCCTACTATCATAATATTTAATAATGTATAGGTATTTTTAATTGCATAAAAATCTTTTACCCGTATAAGTGGATAAGTGTGAATAACTTTTTCGGCTGCTGCTCCTGGTGCTGCAGCTACACCTTCTTCAGCCATTGTCCATTAAAACTTCACACAACAATAATATCTAAACAAGAATATAAAAAAAAAAACAATATTTCAATCAAACATCCGACGCAAGAATTGGAAAATAAAAGCCAAACCGTGCGGCACTCAACACGACGTCTCCCCACTGTTTACTCGTCGCCTTGGAAACCGACAGAGGCGGGCCGAGAGATGCGATTGATTTTTCTCATCAATGAGAGTCTAGTATGAATGCCAGCCTCCTGTGTTAAACAAAAACTGTACACCAAGGTCAAGCGTGGGAGCTTATGTGATAAGTGGATTTTCCTTCTATGTAACACAAACTACTATTTCCAAATCATTGAAGATAAAAACCACCAAATGTGTTAAGTTATTCAGTGCTTCAACATGTATGATTAAAAAAGTGTAGAATAAAACTAATTTTACGGATTTTATCGTTTATAATTTTAAGTATATTCGAAATTTTAGACGTTTCGGGCGCTGTACAGCACCCTATGTTGGGTTGGGGGGTTAATAGTTTGTAGGACGTCCTGATGTTATTAGCGATCTTGGATTAGGTACCATCAGCTTTTAAATACATATTAATAAATGAAAAAAAAACGTAAGTAGTAACTAAACTTTAAAAAACAAAATCTATAGATATTATTCCCGGGTTAACTTCCAGATAGATAAAAAGTTATGGGTTCGGTAGAATTATAAAAGATAGGTCAAGGGATTAGTTGTTTAGTTAGGTACCTACTTGGATTACTTGGATCACAGTTACACCCCTTGTATTTAATTAATACTTTATATTTTGGGAAAAATGCCTCTTTTCACGTTTATTGTAAAGTAAAATTCTCAAACTTCACCCTTTTATATACTCTTTGGTACTAACTACATACTCCAGGGGTTCCCAAAGTTTGCGCCGTAGTGCCCTGGTGTGGTGCGCCGTAAAGACTAAATAGGGGCGCCGTGATGCGTTCCTGTTTACTGTTCTCCGGAAATTAAACTTAGGTATTCGCAGGTACAAAATAAACAATATAAAATCGCGCGCGCTGCAAACGTCACTCACTCGGCGATAGGTACTTACGCTTGGGAACGGGTCCAAAATGAATATCCTACTTTAAGTTCAGTAGATCTAAGTTTCCTCTTCCCTTTGCAACATATTATTTATGTAAAGCCGGATTTTGAGCTGTAGCTAATGTAAGTAATAAAGAGCAATTATCGCTCAAAGATCAATGTGGAGCAAGAAACGAGAGTAGCGGTGTCAAGCCTTATGTTCCAACACTTTGTAAAAATGTGTGGGATATCACCAAGCTCACACTAACACTGACATTGACTAATTTGCCATTATATTTTAATTCCTATTTTTCTTGAAAATAAATGTATTCCTGCGTGTCAATATAAATATAAAAAGTCAGCTTCATATTATGGATGTTTTACGTATGCTTTACCTAGTACCTATCATGGTACCCTTTTTCGACTAGCTACGGCTCCCAGACAAAATACTATATCCGTAAGTACCCCGGGAGCTGAAAAAGTTTGGGAAACCTTGACTTACTCTATGACTATGGTATGACACAGAACATATTATTCTATTCTGTAACAAGTTCTACTCTAAGGAGTTCTAGGGAGTTTTGACCGGTGGCGGATTGCTACTCCTGTATTATTGTTTGAAGTGGATTTTGATATGTAAAAGTGGTGCGATTTTGTGTATTGTTTTTTATAAGATAAGGGTGGAAAACGAGTGCATAGTCCACCTAATGGTAAGAGGCTTCTGTGGCCCATAGACATCTATGTTCGATTACGAATCCAAATGCAGGTGCGTCGTCACCCGTAAGGACCAAGATGGAATGCCTCGTTTCCAGTAAAAAGGGTTTCCGGTTCTCTACACTCACCATACGAAACACAGCAGCATTAAGCTGCTATTTTACGCTGGTTTTCTGTGAGAGCGTGGTCCTTCCCTGGTCGAGCCAACCCATTCGTGCTACACAATACTAATAATAATTGCAGCAAGGCTCTACCACGTAAAATGTCTGCGCATGTGAACTATTAGTAAAAACTGCGTAACAAGTGCTCCGATGGTGATATGAATGTCAAGATAAGGTGTCTGTCTGCTTAGGCACCTTGAGATACTATCGCCAACTGGCTCAAGTTGCTGTTAAAATCTTTCAAAAACTACGCAATGTGACGCATCAACACATTTTGAAGCAGTGTTAGTACACTGACCTCTATATATGGATTGGCTACACACCGTGACATAATGAGGCGATTTGATTTTCGCCATTTTAGCGCTGACAGTAAAAGTGAACGGAACTAATAATAGAGATAAGACAGTGTGACAAAATATATCGATAAACTTCTATACCCAGGCCTACTCGTAACGTCCATTTTATTTATGTAGCATATTGATATAATGCCATACAATAAATAAATCTATCAATGAATATCTAGGCCTTAGACGCAAGTTTTACACCTCATATAAAACCTAGATCGACGCTACGTTGTTCTATCTACGTTTTTATTCGTAGCTACAGAACGACTTTTGTTCCAGGATCAATCTTGGGTATGTTGCTTCATTCGCAAAGCTTACATATTCAAATAATACTGGAAAATATTCTACTAGAGTACGTAACTATACAATTTTGTAATAAATACCACATTATACCAAACAGTACGGCTTTCAAAAAGATAAATCTACAACTTTGGCGATTTTCTCACTCATAAAAGTAGTACTACCAAACATTAATAGCAATAATTTTACCAAAGTACTATTTTTTTACTTATCTAACACCTTTGACCTAGGTTCACATGACTACTGTTACAGAAGTTAGAAAAGATTGGGATTAAAGGACCTACACTTCAGTGGATATCATCATATTTCTATAATAGGCAACAAGGTGTCGTTATAATACATAGTAATAACTAAAGCAGATGTAAATTGGTCATATTTAAACAGATTTAACAAATTTACAACGTCTTGTAAACACAAAGTCATCATCAGGCGACCCTTCTTCACTTGACTATGGCCCTTGAGTTTGGGGGAAAATAACTTGAGAAGAAATTAAAAAAAAACCATTCGAAATAATAATGTAATACTTTTATACTTACTGGTATTGGTACTACCAGAAAATATTGTGGATGTACTCTACTTTTTCAAAGTGGTGTGTGTCTCATGTCTAATGAAACAGTCATCTGTGAAGTGTTTTGAAAAGAAACAGTAATAGAAAATTAATGAAGTGTCATCAGCAAATAATACCATATTATGGTTATCTTCTACTATGTAAAATAAGTCATTAATATATACAAGAAACAGAAAGGGGCTGAGAATTGAGCCTACAGGCACGCCCATTTGTACTATCGACCCGGAAGATCTCATACTATTAATGACAACTTTTTGCGTTCTGTTACTTAAATATGAAACAATTAATTTAAGAGCATTACTTCTTACACCGTAGTGTTGTAGTTTCCTAATTAATGTTTCATGATGAACACAATCGAAGGTTTTGGATAGGTCACAGAATATACCAAAAGCATCCTGTGAATTCTCCCATGCATTGAAAATATATTTAATCAACAAATATAATCATTTGTTTCAGACGCCAATTTTCAATTTTTATGCTTTTTAGCCATAGTTTTAGTTTAGGGTGAGTTGGAAACCTGTTAATTAATAAACATTTGATAATTATCTGTTGTCAGCGACTGTGCTTGCTAACAGATATGGGTAGAAAAGAACATCGATAAGTATTATAGACAGGAACTCGGCAACACTATTGAATTTGATTGTTTATCAAAACTCAATAATATAAAACCAAAAATGTTGGTGATTACGATATTAAGATTAGTAACAAATTTTTAAGTACTTATATTATCAAATAGATTTAATTTTCTTTTAATATTAGCTGTAAATTCACTTACTTGTGGAATGTTACCCCCATAGAATTATTGCGTAATAATTCTATGGTTACCCCATTTTCGTTTTGGTAACGAGTTTTACAAATTACACTCACTCATTATTACTAAAAATAATTCTTATTATATAACAGAATAGAATAATTTTTTATTCAATATTGATTATTACATAATTCTTATTGAAAGTCATTTTTTATTTACCACTAGTTCGGAAAATACTTCTGTCCAGGGAAGAACCAGCAAAAAACCCAGCGGGACTTTTTTTTTCAAACATATTTCACTTAACAATAATTTCGTTTATACAATTTTTAAATGATTTTTCATAGAATAGCATGGTGGCGATCACCTTATTTAAACTTGTTTATTGACAAACTTTGAATATGTTCTGGGATTTTGTTGTAAAAGCGTATATATTGACCCATAAATGAATTACTGATTCTATGGAGTCTAGTAACTGGTATTACAAGCTTATGTTTGTTCCTAGTGTTTAAAGTATGCACACCCTTATTCTTATTAAAGCTATTTATGTTTTTATGTACATACGATAAGATAAGTTAAGATGATTTTCATAAATATATTGCGATGCCAAAGTTAATATGATTATTTCTTTAAATTTTTGTCTGAGGGACTCTTTCCAATTTAGGTTATAAATCGCCCGTACGGATCTCTTTTGCAAAACAAATATAGCTTCAATATCAGTCGCATTACCCCATAGCAAAACTCCATAAGACATTACGCTATGAAAGTAACTAAAATACACTATTCTAGCTGTCTCAACATCTGTGAGAATTCTAATCTTTCTTACAGCATATGCTGCAGAACTAAGTCTGCTTGCTAATTTAGATATATGAGGGCCTCATTGAAGTTTCGCGTCAATAGTACAATAATACAGAGAAAAGCAGTGGTATCCACAAGACTTAACTCCTCCCCATTTAACAGCACATTGGTATTCGAATGTTGTACATTAGGTATTGTAAATTTAATACACTTTGTCTTATTGCCGTTTAAGAGCATATTGTTGGCATTAAAGCAATGTACTAATTTCGATAGAGCATTATTTAGATCGTCATAATTAATTAACTGCATTTTGAGTTTGAAAATTAAAGAGGTATCGTCAGCAA